AGGAATTAGTCCACTGTCCAGTTTTGCGCCCTTGCCTGAAGAGGGGATAGATGAAGGCTTTATACCAGGTACATGCAGTTACCATCTCTATTTTTATCTAGATGTACTGTTGTGTTCCATTGTTATGCTTTGTAAACTCAGTGCTATGTTGTATAATCTGATAGGGGTTCTACTTGATAGAAAATAAACAGATCTTTATTAAATCTTTGTATGAAGTAAGATGCTTAAATCTCTCGTACTTAATGATGCAATGGTTCAGGTCATAGAGAAAAAGATATCATTTTCCATAACACAGGGCACAAGAAACTTGTTGCTAGGTGTTAGGTTGGAGCTGCAAGCAAGTGCTTCAACAGCCTGAAGGATTCAGCCAACAATCCCTAGACACAGTTAAAAATCAACTAAACCTACTGCACAAGTGCCAGTGTTTTGCCTGGACTGACTCAATCACATAGAGTGAAGACTCAGTTTGCTAATTCAAGTTTTCCGTGAACATCACTGCTCTGAAGGTAGTTTCCAGCAATGTATTCCCTATCCTTACAAAGATGTGTGTGAAAAGATCCCTTATTTAAAACACAACAGTAAACTAAAACAGGTCAAACAAATATTTTTAAAAGTTCATATTAATTTCACATGATTGGCTCTGCTTTATTTTGAAAGCCAAGATTCAAACTGTAATGCAAAGTGCATAATAGCTGGTTTTGCTCATAGGTTTCCTACCACTGGTTGATGATGAAATGGAAGAAGTTATCCGCCAAATAGAACATCAGATTTCCAAACTTGAAGGAGGTAATTTATCTGTTTTTACTGTCTCCTGTAGCTAGATTAGTGAGCATAAATAACATGTGCAACAAAATAGCTTCTTAGGAGAAAAGCAGAATTTTCTACTTTTTTTTTTGCATCCATTTATATATGTTCACTGGTAGATAGCAGAGTGATAACTCTCAAAGGGGGGTGGTGGGGATTAGTTTTTCATAAGTAATGGGAGACACCTAGGTAGCAGCTCTGAAAGTCAGAAACTTGTCAGATAAAAATCCCTGCCTATGCATAAGGGCTCCATGGGCACCTCATGCTCCTAACAGACAAATAAATTGGACACTAATAACATATCAAAACAATCACAACTAGATCACTGGCCTAAGATCCTACTCACTCAAGGACTGACGTGTACCATTGTATACTGCAAGCCATCTCACAGAGCTTATACAGAGTAGAGAGACTCAAAGAAAATAATAATAATTTTTCCAAATGTATTATTCCTTACTTCTTCTTTCTCCAACATCTTTTTTGCTTCTCCTGTTTCATTGTCTGTATGTTTATGTTTCTCTTCCTTTTTTCCCTCCCCTCATCTTTTCAGATTTCTTCTGACTTTTGTGAGTTGTCTTTTTTTTTCTTTATCTTTTATTTCAAATTTTCCTCTCCTTTACCTTTTCCCAGATCTAATCTAGAGTTACAGAGAAAATAGTGGGAATTACAGTTGCCAGCGAAGAGACTACAAAAAAAATGCATAAAAATTTAACAGCTTTCACCTCATCTTGCAGTCCTCCGCTTGGAAAACATGGTAACAGCGTCTGGAGGAAAAATATTTGCTACCAATGGGGAAAAAGCTGATTTCCATACTACACTGAAAAAATGCGAAGAGGCTGGAGGGTCTGTTGCCACTCCAAGGAACCCAGGCGAGAATTTTGCCATTCTGTACTTTGTGAAAAAATTTAATAGCTATGCCTACCTGGGGATAAAGAAATCTCCAATTCCAAGTAAATTCCAGTTCCTGGATGGCATACAACTGAGCTATACTAACTGGCATTCAAATGAACCTTCTGGCAAAGGGGAAGAGGAATGTGTGGAGATGTACACTGATGGCACTTGGAATGACAAAAGGTGCAACCAGAATCGCCTTATTGTCTGTCAGTTTTAGTGCTCCCCCCGCACTGTTCTCTGGCAGGCTCCCTGGAATATCCCTTGTCTCTTCATTTGCAGCTGGTGAA